TGTAATGATTATTTATTGATTCATTTTCTTTAATAGTTACCGGTCTATTCACACTATCTATTTCTTCTTGTGTGAGTTTTGGTAGTTTTCAAGGAAGTGATCCATTTCACCCTGGGTATCAAGTTTGTAGGTAGGGTTGCTTATAATAATTCTTTATCCTTTTAATGTGTATGAGATCAGTAGAGATGACCCCCTTTTCAAGTCTGATGTTGGTAATCTGTGTCTTCTTTCTTTTTTCTTGGTTAGCCTGGCTAAGGGCTTGTCAAATTTATTGGTCTTTTCAAAGAATCAGATTTGGGTTTTGTTGACTTTTCTCTATTGATGTCCTGTTTTCAATTTCATTGATTTCTGCTCTAATTATTTTAAGTTCTTTTCTTCTGATTGCTTTGGACATAAAGACAAGACTTTCAGTTCTTGCATTTCTCTGAACTCAAGGCATTCTTTCTTACTGCATATTTTTTCATGATTTTTGTAAAGAACATAACCTGAACCATGTGGAATAAGAGGAAGCAGCAGATGTGTGGGCAGCTCTCTGGAGTTGCCGTGAAATAACAACCGGATGCAACAATGTGTTGGCATTTTGAAGAGCAGGGCTCCTTCCTGATTTCTGTTGCTTAGCCTTGTTAACGTTGGAATTGGACAATCGGAAGCACAGCTGAACACTGTGTGCGCCTCTAAAATACTCCTTCTTGTCAAGCAGTGTTTTCATAGGACCCCTCTGTCAGAGTGAGACCTCTCAGGATGTGGATCCTGCTGGAATAAGCCTCCCATAGCACGTCTCCATCCAGAGGAGGAGGGGAGTCCCAGTCTGTGAGCAGCAGGACCCACTCTTGGCCCCGTCCCCTGCAGATCAGACCTGCTCAAGTATCATCACTTGGCAGTCAGGGGTAACTGAAAATTGGACCCCTAGTTTTGCAATCCCTGCTGTTTTGTTGGAGATTAACTGAGGTGTCAGTTTCTTGGTGATGGCAGGGTTGATTTGGAGGACAGCTTGAGAACCATGAAAGGAACCATTTTTCAAAATCTGAGTAAGGAACAACTGCCATTTTCCTTCTCTGCAGACCTTTTAAATATACGGGGTTGCCTGAATTCCTCAGGGGACTTCAAGGACAGCTCAGGCCATGTTGGGCAGTGTGCGTTGGGGTGGGGGTGGGGTTTACATTTACAGTCTCATCAGCGGATCCCAGTTAAGTGTTAAGAGTGTTAAGAGTTGTTCTGGAGACAAAGCCCTCTGGAGACTGCTGAGTCCCCATCAGAGAGCACAGGACCTAGCCTCCAAGTACAGGCTCCTTTGTTTGAAAGGTCCTCTCTGAGCAGCTCTGTAAGGACCACAGAACAGGCCCACAGCGCCCCCTTCTGGTCTCAAGGCAAACACCTCCTCATGGGCCAAAGCCCTGAGAGCCCAGCTGGTTTCTGTCTGCTCAGTGTGGGGGCAGCCTTGATCCCCATGCTCTCAGCCCCTCCTAAATCAAATCCCCACTGCCTCAGACCCCTCCTCTGCAAACTCTGGGCTCAGGGCATTGTCCTCAGTGAGTCCCAGTGATTTCCCAGAGCTGTGCATGCTCTGACTGGGCTTCTTATTAACAAAATGGGGAAGGATTTTCGCCTGGGCTCCTTTCATCAGAAACTGAGGGGTCACAACATCCTTACCTCTTATTGAAGCTGCTCTCCCTCCACAAGCCTCCATGTGGTCAGGTGCCCCCCCATGCTGACATGGATTAGAAGCCATTCTTGGAATAATGCTGGTCAGGGAGGCAGAACGGGAGACTAAGGGGCAGGGTGAGCATGGGCTCTGACCCCTTGTCCACAAGTAGCACGTGCTTCCTCTGAGAAGATTTTGTGATCAAAGCAAGACCACAGGTGATCCACAAGAGTTTGTAATCTGTCAGAGAAAGCGAGGCCCTAGTGAGAAACAGCTATGCAGTCTGTACTCACTGCTGACACAGAGGACCCTGTCCACACCCACATAGGACAAGCATGTTCAACACAGCAATGGGTGTATTTATTAACAATAACTCAATGAACAACAGCCCCGTGATTGATCACAGGCCTAATTTTCAGAGTCAGGTTTATGGGTAAATTCAGGGCATCCCTACAAGCCTACCTGCCTTTGAGGTCAGTATTCTACCTTTTGGGAGGCTCTCTGGAGCAGGATTTAAAGCATCTCCAGGAGGCTCTCCCCCATGGGCCCTAGAGGCCCAGAGCCAACACCACTGTCTCCCCCACATTTGGGGGCTGAAGAGTGTGACCTCTCAAAGTCACCAGTTCTCCTCTCCCGCTGACCAGCTCAAGCTCATGGACCATCTGATTTAGGTTTTCCAGGTGTCTAACCATTGTGCTCTTGACATGCTCGACTTCTGTAGTGTCCACGGAGCTCACTGTGTGACTTTCAGAGTGAGAGGTGCCAGCCCCATAGGGAATGGGGGACAATCAGAGCACCTGGTAAGTGTTCTGAAAGGTATTTTATCTCTTAGCGACTTCAGCCTTGACCTTTTGTCCCTGAGTGAGGTCCCTGGTTAGGACCCAATCTGAGTGCTCCCCAGTCGTGCTGAGGAGGCCTTGGCCTCTCCCGGGGAGACAGAAGATTTGCCACGTGTGTCCATAGCACCGCTGAGGACTCAGCTGACAGGAGACAGAGAGGGGCTGTGTCATGACAGGAACTGGCCAGGCCATGGAGATGCTGCCACCACTGTCCCCAGCATGGTTCTTGGCTTCAGGATCTTCACATTCATATCAGGTGCAGAAGGAGGTGTGGAAAGGAGCCCATGGAGGCTGAGTGCTGGTGGGTCAGGGGCCTGATGGGTATCTGCTTCAGATCTATTCCATAAGGAGATACCTGAGCACAGGAGGAGAGAGAAGCAGAGTCCCTTGCTGCACCATGCCTGTCACCAGTGCAGAACCTGGGGAGAATGGGGAGGAGACGGGCCCAGGCCAAGGTGCAGCCAACCCTGAGCTCTTCACCCAGAGATCTACAGATCTGCTCGGACCCCCTCAGTGTCCCTCTCTGCCACCCACATCCCTGAGGCAGGGGCTCCTCATGCACATCCGCCCCCCACGGCTGGAGAAGTCTGACAGCTCCAAGACCATCAGGTGGGGGCACACAGGTGGACCTGTCTGAGGGTCATTCTCCTCCTACCCTCCGCAGTGTGGGGGGGGTTGCATAGGGAGGAGGATGCAGGGGAAGAAGCGCATGAACATCCTGACCTAGAACCTAATCTGAGCCCAGATCTGAGTCTGCAGAGGCCCTTGGGTGTCCCTGAGGGAGGTCTCACTCCCAGGGGGACTCAACTGCTGGGAACCTTCTTCTCAGGGAGGACAGGGCAGGGGTGGTCACAGCTGTGACCAGGCAGCCCTGGGCTCCCTGTCCCTCCACAGCTGGACCCAGACATCCTGTCTGACTTGCCAGTGCAAGCTAAAGACATGGGTCCATTCTGACTCTCTAGTAAGACCTGTCGAGATGGATGTCAACTGCACAAAAGTGCACATCGTGTGGTTCCTACTTAGGACCACAAGTACTGTCTGTACAAAGTCAATCCATTAATTGTACTAGAATTTAAAACTTTTATCTACAGGGATTATAAAGTATAAGAAGTGTGAATTATGCCATAAATGGAATAATACTTCAAAACCACTAAATATTATCATTTCTACAACAATAAACCCAGATGTCTTCCCACCATGAAATCCACTGCATGGAGTAACTCGCTGAAGAGAAGCTCAGTTGCAAAGTAATGTGGGGGCTGCCGTTTGCTTCCATGGCAGAGATGGTACGTAAGTGTGAGCTTTAAACCATCTTCATGCGCACGGACATCAGTCCCCTGTAAGGTGGGAGCCTGGGCTGCAGCCACATGTCACTCTCAGCCCTCGAGTGGCTGCACGAGGTGCTGGAGCCTGGGAAAGAGCCTCCGTTCACAGCACCTTCACGTGTCCTCAGACGTGTGCAGACGGCACGGACAGACCCCATAGCTGACAGATCTGGCGACTGGATGGCTTCTGTGTGAAGCACACAACTCAGTGCCATTCACAAGGGGCTCAGGGCATGGACTGGGAAGGAAAAGAATTATTGTGGAACTTGACAGCTGCAGGTCCCAGGCAACAGGTGTCAGTGTCACACCTGGTCGCCTGCTGACCTTCTCCGTGGGAGGAGCCTGCTGGTCAACCCCAGGACAATTAGAAATGCATAGCAGACAGGTGGAGAAAAATCAAATATTTGGGTTACAATTTCTGTGATGAGAAGGGTTATGTGCACTTAAGTATCTTCTGAAATATTTGCTATAATACAGTATAGAGAGACATGTTTGAAAATCCAATTTTAAATTGCATAAATGACTATTTTAGATATGTTGTCAATTAAAATCTTACTTAGTTGATGTGCATTATTTGGCTCCACACATATAAGTTTAATATATTTCATTTTAATTACTATTTCAGGAATAAGGATGATTAATTCTGTAAAATAATTTACTTAGTTAAGAAAAACCAATATGTGAAACTAATATATAGAGTTAAAATTTTCGAAGCACTGAATTAGCTGACTATACAACTGGACCAATTACATGAAAGACCCCTAAAGTCATTGTTCAATTGTATGGGCTTGTAGATGTAATAAAATAACTACAGGTTGAACTTGAAAGATACAGAAAGAGTGTGTTGCCTCTATAATGGCCTTCGGTTCCTATGAGGACCTCCCTTGTGAGCACCACCACCACCACTAAGTATAAAAATAAAATACGTCGGGGCGCCTGGGTGGCTCAGTTGGTTAAGCGACTGCCTTCGGCTCAGGTCATGATCCCAGAGTCCTGGGATCGAGCCCTGCATCGGGCTCCCTGCTCAG